GCGGAAAGTGTGGGACCTTGTCTTAACTAGAGGGAAGGGAGAATCGCCGGATTACTGACCTGACGCATTTGCCTGTGTTTGGTTATACATACTTTCTTTGCCAGAAAGAAAATTATCAAAGACAGGAAATTGATTGGAAAAAAAATCTAAATAGAAATAAGTCTGGAAGACAAATCATAACAGTGCTCATGAATGTTTCCTTACACTTTAATTGTATGCATTTTAAGTAAACTGAGTAAACTGTTATAGGTGAAATAGCCATGTCACAGAATCATGACACACATCTGATGCACCAATGACTGTACCTCCACAAGCCATAATCAACTTTGTTATGTCATCTGAAATATCAATGAACAGCATGAGTACCATTACTCCATTAGTACTTTTTACTAATTTTCATATACCTAATATTGTTTAAATAGAATTCCATGGAAGTGGATGTGTCGCCTGCAAAGCAAGCTGGGAGATTATGAAGAAAATGATAAAATTCTCATCATAGTGATAACTATGTCACCTTTTGCAGGCGACACAAAAATGAGTCACACAATGTTATATATCCAAGCATTTTCATAACTTATTTTAGATTTTTCCAGGTACAGAACATGGGACTGACAAGTAGATTCATAGAGTAGTCAGTATGGCAAATAACTGTATTGAAAGAAGTTTGAACCAAGGCAACTATATTATCAGAAATTTGCAGACAAATCAGATCTATACGTGTGAATTATTGGATGAAATTAGTAATAGACTTCCAGGTCATCCTAAAATATATAAAGTTTGTCAAATCAATGTCGGTGGCATTCTGATCTCTTCAACAGCATTTATGGTCAGGTTGTAAATGAAAAATTTTATCTAACAGTGGAGGACCTAAAAACTAGTACAAATCATAGTCATTTTATCACACTACATACTGTTAAATGTACTCAAAGATTATAATATGAATACTGAGCCCAATTCATTTTTACTAATATCTTTATCCTTACCTTTTGTTAGATCTTCAGCCTGTCCAATGAGGTGGATATTGAAACCTTTTAGTAGCAGACTAGACTTTGTCCGTGATAGATAGGGCCCATTATGCATCTCAATGGTGCCAGTATCACCAATAACCTCGTAGTTTTTCTGCCAAGAAAAATAGCTAGGTTAAAAACAAAATGAAACCACTACTTTAATGCTTAATTCCATTCTGACAAATGCTATTGTGATAAAAAGTATTTTTCTTGGAATTTTCAATCTTCATGTACATTTTCATTTATAACCTCTTAGGCTAAACCACAAAAGATAACAAGTTCATTTCATTCATGAATCTGTAGCGAGCAAGTGATGGCTTACATATATATAGGCAACAGAGAAATGTGTAGCATTAATGAGTTATCTTACCTCTGATTGGCGAATTCCTTTACTTCCTGAATCTCTTATCCATTGGAGATTTACAATAAAAACATGGTGTGCAATTGCTTGTAAAAATTTCAGACTTCTGTCACACATTCTGCATTCTTCAGGTTCTACAATTCAAGGGTGAATTGACAGTTTAATATCATCATGTTAAACACGCATTTTAAAAAAAAAATCTCTCACAAATTTAGTTAGTTATGCAGATTAAAACTGAATTGACTATTCAATGGTGTAATGATCCAACATAATTAGAATTTTAATATTGCTCTGAAGTTTCTAGATTTAAATCAAGTATTCAACTTATTGACAAAATGTCATTTATCCATTTCATACCTGTTTTCATGACAAGATGGGTGATTTTTGGGTGAAAGGAATGAGAAAATCCCCAACCAAACTTTCGGCACGCATTTTTGACATCTTCCTGCAGTTATGACAAAAACACCTATATCAGTAGACAGCACAATGTATGCATATATCAACATACTACCACAGCTTTCTGATCACATTGAAAAAAAAAATACTCTCAAGAATGTCGCTATTTTTTATTTAAAAAAGTGCAAAAGACAAAAATCAAGGCATTACACAAAAAACAGATGCTTATTAGACTTCATACTTGAAACAAAAACTAATGTACATGTAATACAATATTATCATGTCAACATGTTCACATGAACCATATATCAGGTTGACAAAATTAGCTTTATTAATAGAAATTCACTTAAAAAAATCATAATCACTCAATATCATAACCTCCAAACATAATGGCAGAAAGGTCTTGCCTTATTTCTTTGTTATTGCTTGCTACAAAGGCTATATTTACTTGATATTATCACAAGCTTGTTCAAACCTGTTGTGATTGGTTCAGTCCAAAAGTCAAAATTATGGTAGGGGACTGGTCCTCAGTGCCAATGGGAGGGGACTGGTCCTCAGTGCCTGTTGGAGGAGACTGGTCCTCAGTGCCTGTGGTAGGCAACTGGTCCTCAGTGCCAATGGGAGGGGACTTGTCCTCAGTGCCTGTTGGAGGAGACTGGTCCTCATGATCAGTGCCTGTTGGAGGAGACTGGTCCTCAGTGCCTGTGGGAGGTGACTGGTCCTCAGTGCCTGTTGGATGAGACTGGTCCTCAATGCCTGTTGGAGGAGACTGGTCCTCAGTGCCTGTTGGAGGAGACTGGTCCTCAGTGCCTGTTGGAGGAGACTGGTCCTCATTGCCTGTGGGAGGAGACTGGTCCTCAGTGCCTGTTGGAGGAGACTGGTCCTCATTGCCTGTTGGAGGAGACTGGTCCTCAGTGCCTGTTGGAGGAGACTGGTCCTCATTGCCTGTTGGAGGAGACTGGTCCCCAGTGCCTGTTGGAGGAAACTGGTCCTCATTGCCAATGGGAGGTGACTGGTCCTCAGTGCCTGTGGTAGGAAACTGGTCCTCAGTGCCTGTTGGATGAGACTGGTCCTCAGTGCCTGTTGGAGGGGACTGGTCCCCAGTGCCTGTTGGATGAGACTGGTCCTCAGTGCCTGTTTGAGGGGACTGGTGCTCAGTGCCTGTGGTAGGAAACTGGTCCTCAGTGCCTGTTGGAGGAGACTGGTCCTCATGATCAGTGCCTGTTGGAGGGGACTGGTCCTCAGTGCCAATGGGAGGGGACTGGTCCTCAATGCCCATTGGAGGGGACTGGTCCTCATTGCCTAAGGGAGGGGACTGATCCTTGGCGAAAGGATGGTGAGACTGACATTCTGTGGATAGTCAATAAATAGTTTATTATTATTACATTCTTAACGGCCCGTCAATACATAAAAGGTCATTAGGACCATCAAATAGGGTACAACAAAAAGACTTAAAAGGAAATCACATCAAATAACTTAAGACTAACAAAACACTTTTTCCATGTAATCCAGAATTTTGTGTATTTAAGTTTCAAAAAGAACTTGTCACATTACGATAAAAATGTTCTCAAATAGACAGGAAGTCGATGAAGTCCAACTCTTAGCTGGAATATTTATTGTATGGAATAAAGATGACTCCTGCTCTCAGTTCAAAGTTTTCAAATGTACTTTGAATAAAATGGTTCTTGGACTTTGGCAGTTCAGTAAACAAGACCACTGAAGTTAAATGTACCTTTGAAACAGGATAGGTCCTCCTCAAACAAGGACTTCAAATGTTTTCTCTTCTCAAGATATTCTGGAAGTGAAAATTGATTGATTTAGCATTTATTTCTTTAGTGAATAGAACTAGTTTGAAATGGGGCTTGTTAGTCCAATAAACTAGGGTTTCACAATAGTATTTCATACCCAGTGTAGGATTAGAATAATTGCCCACTGTCTTTGTACTAATTGGGCTATTAATAAGGGAAAATCCTGTTGGTTGAAATTAAAGGGACATCACGTGAAAAGGCATTTTTTTTAATGAATGTATGTATTGTATGCACTTCCACTTATGTTACCTCGCTATCCCCATATTCATAGTCTGTTCCAAATGTCCAGTTTGACCACTTGAGTTGTTCGGGAAAGCCCTGCTAAAAATAGCGCCGATAACGTCACCTGACTAGGCAGTAAACACAAGTGGTGCGAGCGAGATGAAACAGTTTCCAAAGGGGCCCCCAGAGAGGGGCTGTCAGGACTTAGATAATCCATGGACTTAGATAATACGCTGTGGGCTATAACAACTTCTTACCGCACTATGAAACCAAGTTATATGATTTCTAAGTCTGTATTCAAACTTATTGAACAGTAATTATTCATCATTAGAAGTTAATTGCACACTTGCCAATATTCAGAATTTAAATTTATTTAGCTTTAAACATAAATTTGTTGCCAATAAAATTAAACAAGGGATGGGGCACAAGTTTTTACAATTTATCACAGCCTTCTCCCGTCATACATTTACAATTAAATGT